AGTTATTCAGACAAAGTACGTTTACATGTCTGATTCCACAACTTATAACCTGGTTGGTAGGGTGTTGGGCCCATGTCCAAAAGGTCGTGAGTGCAATCCCCGCCGGCCGAAAACTCCCTGTGTAGTAAATGGTGACTGGTGCGAGTTAAATCTATCAGGCCACAAAGTCCTCCATGTTCCCGCAACAAACTATTCCTTTTGAGGTATTGAATTGGAGATTGATCGTTCTTTGATTCAGGCCAAAATTACGATCTGTGGATGAATGAATAGATGTTGAATGAATCCGCACTATAAACGGTCTGTAACGTATGCGCGTGTCAAAAATCAAACTACATACCATAGATGGCGCCACTGGAAAACAAGAAGAAACTCAACACTTTTGCCTTAATGGAATACGACAACAACAACAACAGAAATTATGAATTATTGCAGCCACATATTCTTATTTTCCCAAGATAAGAATTACATCTCCTTTTCTTTAAATTTCAAATAAATTTTTGAAGTATTGAAATAGTTTTTTTTTTTTTTTTTTTAATTTATTTCTTTATTGTAAACGAAGTACTAACTGCATTAAAAAATTTTAGCAGCTATATACTTTTATGTCAAATAACAAAAATAAAAACAAAATTGATATTTTTCTTAAAAATTCGAATTAGTTTCAAAATTATTTAATTTAAAGCTTTTTTAAGCTTTCTCCAAAGAAGTTCATTTCAATAATCTCAAAAATAACTTTTTCTCTTTTGAAGTCCAATCAGTTAATGAAACATGAATGAGGTAATGAGCAGTTAAATTCATTTAGAAAGTAAAAAAATGGATTATCATAGGGAGTATTGGATAGCTGAATTTTTAAGGTTCTCCAATTTACAAGTTTTAAATTAGTGCGTAAGGAACGAATATCAATCCATTCCAGTATCTTAATTTTTCTATTACTTAATCGGTTATTCGTTCATTGAGGGTCGATTAGGTGAAATGAGCGAAAGATGAGCGAGAGACCCGTGTAGTAAATGGTGACTGATGCACGTTAAATCTGTCGAGTCCCAAAGTCCTCCATGTTCCCGTAACAAATCAATACCTCTGGGAATACTGATCCAGGAGTTTCCTTGTCTTCTGGATTGGTTCAAAATTACAAGCTTACGGAGTTGAACATTACTAGTCGTAAACCCGAAATCGGGTCGGCTGTTCAACGGCGGTATATAAAATAAAATAAAATGAGCGAGAGAAGCGAACTGAAAAGAGTGAAAAAACCGGGTGGGGTGTATTTCATTTCATCAGACATTTCTTCAACAGAGCTGCGATGGATCAGGGGATAGAGCGTTCGCCTTCCAATGAGGTGAACCGGGTTCGAATCCAAAGCGATGGCTGGTCGAAATGAATCCGCATCCTGATTGCACCGACCACAGTACTGATGTGAAATATCCTCTGTGATAGACGTATCATGGGTTAGAGTGCTTTTGCTGCCAGGGTAACCGTGGGAGGTTCAGGCGGTCTTCCTCTCAAAGTAACTTAAATGCACTTTAGTTCAATCAAAAAGCTCTCCTCGGAGGCAAATTTCTTCTGATACTTGAGCCAGGAGTTCTCTTGTCTTCTGGATTCGGTTCAAAATTACAAGGCTACGGAGTTAAACATAGTCGTAAACCCAAAAAATTGGGTCGACTGTTCAGCGACGGTTATAAAATGTAAAAAAAAAATGCATTTTTACTGATGACAATTTATATTTGGCGATAATATGACAATAAATTCTGTTTCGAGAGGTGACCCAGGTTTGAATCCCAGCTATTCAAATTCAACTCGCAGCTCGCACCGACAGCAATGTTGGTGCAAAATATCCACAGAGGTAGACGGAGCATTGATTAGAATGTCCTTGCCGTCCAAATTTGAGACTTCTATTTTATTAAAAACGTGTTATTTAGCATTACTTTCAGTATTCGGCTAATTACTCCTAATTACGTCTTTTAAAAAACTGAAATGAAACATTTTAATTTTTCGAACTTTAAAAAACTAAATCAAGCTTTAATTAAAGTTTTGCCTTTAATATATACAGATAAAGTTTTTTTTTTTAATGAATAAAGGTTTGAGTAAAGATTTTGATAGAAGTTTGCAACGTTCACTTGGTTTTCTAAAATTAATGAAATATTAATTGAATCTATGAATTCGAAATTCAGTCATCTCCAACAAAACTAATTTTGCAGAAGAGACAAAAATCTGAATAGTTAAGTATCAGCTTGTTATATAGAGTCTTTCTTATTTTTTGATATTAAAGTATGTCTGGTTACCAAATATTCTATTGCAATTGTTCCATAGCATCACTTTTTTTAATTTAAAAATTAATTGGAACTTGGAGATGGCCATTATTCAGACAAAACTTAAAACGAATTCTTTACATTCTTTTTAACAAACGAAAATATTGATAATTTGCCATTTAGAATTGAAATAAAGACCAGTACCGTTCCTGGGGTGGCGAACGCCTGCGTGCAAGAATAATTTTGTGCGCCCCTATATACTATACTTATACTTCGAATAGTTGAATTTGGCGCCTTTTAAATTGGGCGCTTGCGTGCGGGGCATTCGCTGCATACCCGCCAGGAATGGCACTGATAAAGACTTCATTCAACTCTTAGAAAACATATTTATAGATATTTGTGTAGATTCAGAAAACTTTTTGATTATAACTACAGGTATCTGTGCTGGCCTTTTACAAATTTCTTCATACATAGACTAAAACTCATATGGGTTACATAGCAAAAAGTTTTTGATGCCTGCAATTTTCGTGTCATTTTATGGCACTTTTCCAAAACATGCTTCCTTAACTGGATATGTTGTTACTCTGTGGGTACTTTTTTTGTATAAAGTGAATATTAATTTACATAAACCATAACTGAGAGCAGCGATGGCTCAGGGGATAGAGCGTTCGCCTTCCAATGAAGTGAACCGGATTCGAATCCCAGTCGATACGAATTCCGCATCCGGCTTGCACCGACCACAGTGCTGACGTGAAATATCCTCAGTGGTAGACGGATTATGGGTTAGAAGTCCCCTTGCCATCAGGCTAACCGTGGGTGGTTCTCGTGGTCTTCCTCTCCATGCAACGCAAATGCAGGTTAGTTCCATTAAATAGTCCTCCGCGAAGACAAAATTTCACCCAATACTTGATATAAGAGTTCCCTTGTCTTCTGGATTGAGTTCAAAATTACAAGGCTACGCAGTTGAACATTAGAAGTCGTAAACCCAATAATTGGGTCGGCTGTTGAATGACGGTTATAAAATAAAATAAAACCACAACTGAAAGGAAGCATTTCAACTTCACCGGGTGTAATGTTTTCATAAACAAAATTACTATAATGTGACACCTGAAAATGTTGTTTCTCCTTTCTTGCTTTTCCGTAGGAGCATTTTGATAACATATTTTTCTTAAAATGCCTAAGTCATCAGCTTTTGAAAACAAGCATCATATTATTTGCAGCCACTTCCCTTATGATTAAAGTTCATAATTACTTTTATCCCTCTTTACATATTTGCATAAATCATCTAACGAACCGAAGTACCTTCTGAAGAATTATCTAAAGAACTACCCTCTGTGGGATAAAAAGCATCAGCAAAAAACAAACTTAAATTAAACATCTAATTGTTAGCTTCAGCGAACTATTTCATAAGTGACAATGGCAGTAATCTGGCTGGGGATATATTCCCAAGTTTATTCCGAGAACAGATCATGTCCAGGAAAAGACATGTTTTCGAACTAAATGGAGATTTCACTGCGCAAAATATAATGTACTAAGTAGGAGGACATGAATTATTTTATTTCCTAACCCTAACTATGTAAACTAAATCTAATCTCAATTTTTCGCAATTCTTTTATTTTTCCCGCAATTCTTTTACCGCAAGAATTGCAATTTTTTTTTAAAAAAGAGGAGAGGACTGGATTTTGGACTTATCGATTTAATTATTTTGTAAGCTTCCTGAGTGGGAAGTATTCGTTTAGTGTTTTTTCATTTTAAATACATTGCCATAAATTACCCTTATTTGAGATCGAATAGGATAGAGGTGGCACATAGAAGAACTCTTTACCTGTGTGTGACACCACTAGGCATGCTTTCATTAGCGAGTGGATAGTCATAGGAGGAGGCACGATACTTTATCTCTCGATTTTCAAACCGATAAAATTTTTAAAACTTGAAGCTATATGGAACTCAAAACTGCCTCTAACATAGTGCTTAAACTAGTCAGCATAGAAATTTCAAAATGTATTTTTGTCAATCTTAGAGCGAAAAATATGATAAGAGGAGTAAACATCGTGATACATTCCCATACATTTATGCCGAGAAGGAGAGAAAAGAGAGATAGCTGACAACTTGGATTAGCCTGCGTAGGGAACGAGTGTGAACGGCATTGGTCATCGTTAAACTGTTCTACCGTAAAGTGCTTGACTTCGCGTGCAGGTCGTTGGGCTACCGAAGCGGGGGTGTCATCCCCTCTGCAGAGGATCAAAATTGTGATGGCATGTCTTCGGATCATCATCAGGGATGTTTCCCAGACCGTTTCCAGTTGCCCATTGTGCAGCTCTAGTGCGACGTAAATGAACTACAACAACTCTCCCAGATATGGCGTATTCGAGTGTTGCGATCGCGAATCTTTTACCAGTCCAAGAAATTGGGGCCATTCTCACAACATGTGATTCCCTTGCGACAGAACACTGTCACACTGTTGAGGTAAAATTAGAATCTGATTGGTAGAATATATTCTCCAGTGAAAAATTCACTAATCGAGTCCCTCCTTTCTCCCTGTGACGTTCGGAAGTGCTTACAGTGGGAACGATCTCATATATCAATCGAAATTTTGATTGGTGCAACCTAATCGCATGCACTGATAAAACTTGTAATACTAATACAGTAAGAATACGCCTTTATCTGAATCTCCGGGCAAATTTTTATCTCTCGGCCAATGCAGACGATAATTAAAAAATCTTTTATGATACAGAAATAATAGCTCCATGTGCTCTAATAAACAAAGAAGCATGTCTTTGTTTATGAACATTTCAATCTTCCTTTTTATCATTACACCAATTATTCAGAAAATACAAGTATTTTCACCAATAATTACTTTTCAAATTTATTGTTAAAATATATTTCTTAGAGTTCTGCAAGTGGTGATCATTAAAGATAGTTTTCTGAATATTAATAAGAAGTTAAAGATTAAAATTTTCTTCTTATTCCTGCAGAATAATGTCTTTGGTTACTTATTGGAATTTTAGGCTGTGTCAGTTTCCTTTTAAACCTTTTTGGAGAATTGTTTTCTCTCGAAGAGTTCACCGAAAGCCTTCAAAGTTCAAAAATGAATTTGCATACAGAAATAATTTTAAAAAAGCTTTTGAAAATGTAAATGAAGATTCTTCTAATAGAATAATTTCGTCTGACGTTGTTTTAGGACAGAAAAGAAAGAAGAATAAGAATAAAGTTTTAGAAGATCACTGTGAAAATAATAGAGTTGACTCAAATAGGTTACAGTTCTTAAATTTTCAAATTTTAAAATTTTTATTTCATAATAAAAGTAACTATGAACTGTAAAAGAGGCTGCTACAAATAATAGGATTTTATTCCATAATTGAAATTTTAATAAAACTTAAAATCTTGGCAGATATCCTAAAACATATTACTGAAGTGCAAGTTACATTTACTCTATCGTATTTTGCTGATTAGTTTATAAAATAAAACATTTTTGTTTGAAACTGTTTATTGTGCTTGTAATTTCAAATATGGGTTCCTTAAAATGCTCATTTTACATAGTTCCTCCTCCTTATTTTAATAGATATTTTATATTACTTTCTTTGTATATTATCAAAATACAGTGTAACCATTTGATTAATTGTTTCACAGCTTTTGTAAACATTAAAATTAGTTGCACTGTAGCATATCTTCCCCTATAAGCTGGGTGATTTTTGATCATAGTCATTTCTAATTATAAGGACAATCAAAAATAAATAATAAACATAAAATTTAAATTGTTTTTAGATATAGTTCCTATTTATATACTGTAATCACCGTAAAATTTATTTTTTGTAATTTTGTTTTGTTTCTCCAACTATAGACAAACAAAGTTCTGAAGGTATCATTTCTATATTAGCTGACTTTGCATGCATTTTGATTTGATATTTGCTGATTTTTTAAATTATAATTTCCAAGCTTATCAGATAACTGAAGTATATAGGAAAAAATTTTTAATTTGAAAAAGGTAATATATGGTAAAAAAGATAATCTAAAATCAAAACTTATTGAAGTTATTTCAAGGAACTGAAAATTCAAGTGTTGGAGCTATTGCTACTAGACAAGGCCATATTCAAAAGGGAGATGAAGACAAGGACAATTATCTCGGGGCCTGGTCTAAAATCCCACAAAAATCATAAAATGACACAAAAATGTCATTTTTTAAAATCAATTTCTTAAAAGAAAATTGGTTATAAAATGCTTTTAGATTTATATAAAAACTACAATTTTGAAGATGTGTCTTCAAAATTTCTACAAAAAATGAAAAAATATATGTTTTGTTTTTTAAGAATTTGCAGTAAATTTTGTCCAGGTGCCTGTGTTATGGCTTTTGAAATGCCCTTTACACACTCTCCATTAATAAAGTTTAAAAATTCATTAACTGACTTGTGGAAACTGTTTCTTATATCCTTGCGGAATATGAGAGTGTATTATCTGCCTAAGGAATATGAAAAGATAGTAATTTCCTTTAACTCATAAAGAATCAAAGGAAAGAAACCCAAAACCATCTTACCTGCAGCTTTATTGTATTTTCTGAATTTTTCTATTCGATCTAATGTTTGATTTGTGAATTAATGTTGTATGAAGTCATTTTAAAAAAGCTTAAAGGAACAAGATGATCAGTAATTACACCAGAAATGAACCGGAACAATTACCTCGATCACTCAAAATTTAAAATACAGTTATAATTTCAGGAAAAAAAAAGGGTCACACATCACTCTTCTCATAAGTCGTTTAACTTTTGCCAAAAGTTAAATTTCTGCCTTGAGTAGTTTTTTATCAAATACTTGCTTTTTTTGATCAGGAATTACCATGGTCCCTCTAAAATAAGTATTATTGCAATGATTCTTCTGCAAATCTGAGGACTATTGATTCGCGGACTTCCACGAATCAATAATTATATTGCAATAACATTTTCTTGGAGTTTCGCTAATCTAAAATTTAATTTTCAGTACCTAGGCAAAATCTTGTTTAACGAAACATTTATTCCGCCAATAACAATACTTTTTGTTTCTTCTCAAATTCATATTCAAGCGCAGTGACTTATTTAAGCAGATTTGTTATAGAAAAATGCTTCACTTTTTCAAACACAGTATTTTTAGGAAAAAAGTGAAGATTGAAGTATAATAGAGACCCTCTTAAGAGGACGCTATACCATCAGGAAAACTTTTCATTGTAAATTCTTTTTCACCTCCATAACTAATTTAAAATTGAAAGTATAGAAAAAATAAGTTCCATTAAACCTTGAGTAAGCCATGAAATTTTAAATACTTGGAAGAAATTTTTAAAATATCAAAATGAAAATAAATTATGATACAATAAATTAGGATTATGCAATTTAGAAGTTCTCTTCCAATAGTTAGTTTGCATTTTGATATTTTGAAAAAAAAAAAAGCATGTATGCAACAGAAACTTAATGGCTTAATCTAGATTTTCCTAAACTCACTTTTTCTTTCTTTTTTTTAAAAAAAAAATTAAAATTAGTAAGGAAATATAATTAATGTCATAAGGTGAAATTTAATTAGTGTCAAAAAGTTTCTCCTGTTGTATAGCGTGCTCTTAATTGTTGTATCATTATTTTTTTCTTTTTGTTAACAACGGGCACTTAGGTCTATTTCCCATTGGCCTCAGAAATGCCAGAACTGCTACTTTCTTCTTGTTACCCAGTGAGCACCTATGGCCAATCCAAAGCAGTGGAGCAGCGTCGCTCACGTCACACAACCACAGACCCGTTCATGGGTCACATTCACACAGAAGAAAGGACATAGAACAGAGAGAGAAACATCCATACCCTGAGCGGGATTCGAACCCGCAACCGTTGGCTCCGCAGTCAGGCACGCTCACCACCTGGTTGGCTGCATTGTTAGAAAAACATAAGTTTTTTGAAAAAGAAAAAGCTAGATAGAAACCGAAACAAAATTCGTTCTTAATTTTGAAATGATAGATTCAACTCTAAAAATTTTAATTTGACTTTTTCACAATGAAAAAAGTGACCATAAAAGAATGATGTTCACTAGAAAAGCTCTTTAAAAAGTGCTATCATAATAAAAACGATGATAAAAATAAAAGTCAATAAAAAAATCAAAAGAGAAACAGAAAAGAAATTGTTCTTAGTTCAGAATTGTAGCTTTAACATTGAGAATCATAGTATTCTATGTTACTATTTATCTGTTTTATTATACAAGAAAAAAGTGACATTTAAAGAATAAAGTCTTAGAAATGCTTCATTAACATTCGACACATTAGTTAAAACAGAAAAACAAACAAACGTGAAACAAAACAAAAAGTTCTCAATTTTTAAAATATGAAGTCTTAAGAAAAAAGGATGAAATGGACGTGCCTGAATATAATTAAAACATGAAAAAAATCAGCAGTAAGAAACTCATGGTTCAGAATAAAGTATTCCAGTTTCAATTCTTCAAATTTCGCTTTTCCATGCGTTTTTCGAAACATAAATTAACAACGTTTAGAACTTAACAAATATGTGCAAAAACTATTTCTAATAACATGTGGTAAAAAATTTGTTTTATTCTTTATTAAATTTCTCCCAAACAAAATTAGAAAAAAAAAATTTCTAAATAATATTTCAAATATTCGGTTAAAGGGCTGAATATACATTACTTCCCTAATAAAAGTATCAGATTTTCAGGTATTGAGGGGACCCCACATGTGTGCTTAACCTGAAGCCTCTGAGAAGCTAGATATGCTACTGTCTGGGAGTGACATTGTTGCTGCTTGATTAACATTTAGATTTCGTTTTGGTCTGTTAATGCCATTAATGGTTGCTTTTGCCCCAAATAGAATGTTTTTAATTACGCTCTAGATATTAAATTTATGATTTATCAATAAAGATAAGATATTGTTTAACTTAAATCCTCAATTTATTTTCAATGCACTCAAAATTCTATTTTTCATTGTGAATATTTATTAAAACACTATTCATTAAAACATAAAAAAGTTACATATTTTGGGAAGAATTAGCCTCTTCTTTCTAGAGAGCTAAAAATTAATTGATAGAAAATGGTCAGCAGGAATACAATGAAGGAAAAATGGACTTACCGAAACAATTTTTTCTTTCTATTTTTTGTGTATGCTTTTTGAAATTTTCATCAATTATGTATTTATTTTTTTTTCTTCAATTTTTATTGTATTTTTAGTTTTTAGGCTTTTTTAAACTATTTATTTAAAAAAAATTCTGTTCTTTAGGTTACGAAAAAGCACATCTTTAGAATATAGAGGAGAATTACTCTTTGGTGTACATCCAGTATATTTAGCCCTACTGAAAAATAAAAGAAAGTTCAATCAGTTATTTGTAACAGACAATAAAATTGAAGAAAACAACAGTGAATGTGTTTCACATAGAACAGAGATAATAAAGATGGCAAGATCTCTTAAAATAGATATAAAAAATGTTATTTCTAAAGATTTAAGATATCTAGTACCAGGTGCTGTTCACCAAGTAAGCTTCTACTGTTGATTATGTATTTTGATTTGCATGATTCCATTGCATTTTGCCTCTACTAATTTTATCTAGATCTATGCCTATGTTTTCCTGTTTGAATGAAGCAAAATAATTTTATTTTCCTATTTCTTGCTGTGAAATATTCTGCAGAGAGAAAATGGTACAGATATAAATGTCACAGATATATATGAAAAAAGAAGAAAACAAAGATAATAATACTAAAAATTAGTTAAAACTATGAGAATGTGAAAATTTTACTGCAATATATAGGAATTTTCAAATATAAAAGGTTACAAATTCTTCCAATTTAAAATTCAATCAATCTAACTAATTTGCCATTAGGGCTGTGTCTAGCGGGTGGCCAAATGGCTGATCACCTACAGATCCCAAAACTCTCTTTCTTTTATTATGAGTTCATTCAAGTTGATGAAATTTTAAAATTAGAACTGTTTGTGATATTTTACGTTATTTAATTTTTTTTATATCTTTACAATTGTAGTTGTTATGATTTAAAAGAGTTATTAAGGTATGGTTATAATAATTTATTTTAATGATTTTTGACCATAATAGTTTTTTCATGTTATCTATTTTTTAGTTTGTAATAATTTACATTAATACTTTTATGACTTTTTGCGTCAAAATTGCAGTGGATTTTGTGGCAAAAATTTGAAAATTCAGTAAAGATGTTTTGATTTGCCCATTGCCGTTAAAACTATAGGCTCCACCTTGTATTTGGGACATCATGTCTATTATTCTATCCACATTAGACAAATGTTTTTACTAAACATATTTTTCTTTTGTGGACTAATAAAAAATTAAAATCTTCTAACAAGTGCCAATTTAACTACAATCAAGAAAAAAAAAATTTCCTCTTCATTTTGTTCTCTAAATATAAGAGATAACCAAGACTTAGTGTAGGAAGTTAATTCAATGACATTTGTGTCAGTACATTGAAAAAACTATTGAGTGGAATAGTCTTCAATTTTATATGGTAGCTCTGAATAAGAAGGACTAGTGAATGTAGAATTAATTTAGTGAACACAGCTCTCTCCTATTTCACCTACAGAACTAAAGCAAGCCTTGAGTCGAAACACTTGATGGCTTGATGATTGATAAATTTCTTTCTGTATTGTATAATTTTTAATCATAAATTTCTAAAAGGAAAAGGTATTTCTTTTTGTGTTAACATTATAATAAACACTATATCTTGTACAATGCTGACATGTTGATACCAATATAATTACTCTTTTGAGATCTAGAAATGATTTTCTATACCAGAATTCAGAACTATTGATGTAACGCGTAGTGATTTGGCCAAGTACCGAATACTTGGCCAAAAAAATCAGCCGAATAACAACATTTGTTTACAAAATCATAAATAAATATTACTTTTTATACATAAATAAGTTTAGTCATTATTGAACTCACCTACATTATTGGTATGAGGTAAAGGGAAAAAATATAATAGTTATCCATTTGAAATATTTAAATATACTAATAGCTATAAAAAGGACTAATAGCTATATATATATATAAATATAAACTGCTTTTGCTCTACTTTTTCAAAGTAAACATTTGAAAAATGCAGGAAAATTAGTAGATTGGAGTAAGAAAATACAGTGCCCAAGCGGTGTACAGGCAAATCAAAAATGTCCTCTTTGCAAAACTGTCATAAGAGGTATACATACAGTGAGTGAATTGTAGTTCCTTTTTCAATAACGTCAATTTTCAAGTCTTTACTGGTAAAATTATTGAGACATTCTCTTTGATTATACTTTTGCAGTACATTTCCAATTCTCTAAATAAAATCAGATAACCGATGGAAACTGGGCAAAAAGAGAATAGGGAAAACAAAACTATGAAAATAAAGTTCTAGCAAACTCAGTGTTTGAGTGTAACTTTTCTTGAATGGAAGATGCATGTATTTTTTCATTTTTCCTTTTGTTGTATTTTTTTTTCTCATTATTTTGCATAAAATATTTTTGGGGGAATTATTTAGGATCCATATAATGGTGAATACAAATTTTAATTGTATTTTTATAATAGAATTTTTCTTTTTATGTTGGGTGTCTGTCTTGATGCTGAACATATACAATTGCTCGAGTGGAAAGAAACTGAGTAAGTTTACCTATGAATGATTTACATAAAGCTTAGTTTAAAATTTAAGTATATGTGAAATTTTCTTAATACTGAAATTTATTTTTTTCCTTATAGATCTGAAGTAGCACCTAGTGAATTTCCTGTGTGGCTTGTTTTAGAGGACATTTTGGTTAGTAAATTTTTTTGCTTACCCTATCTCATACAAATCTTAGGATAGAAGTTTTTAGCAAAAAAGATGCCTTGAGGGAAATTTATAGATTTTTGTCAAAAGCTTAAGTTTATGATAGGTCTAAATAATTCTTGTTGGCATTTAATTAGATTATGAAATTTTACAAAAGAGCAAAAAGCAGTTGCTACTTTTCATTCCTATTTTATGATGAATGACTCTTAAAATATAGGTTCAGATTCTTAAAAATTTTGCATTTTTTAAAGCACTTGTTTGTGTATGTGTATATATTAGGGTACACTGAAACGCCCTGTGTTTTTTAAAATTCCGCAAAAGTTACTTACCCCTATGTTATTTTTGGCCAAAATGCTAAAAAAAAGTATTATAAACAAAATTTAATGCAATTTAAATGACATTTAGGTTGTCCACCAGTTGAACAAATATATTATAAAAATAGGAATTCTGTAAAAAAAAAAAAAAAAAACTTGTAATGAGTAAAATTAAAATAATATATTTTCTGATTAAATATTAATATTAAAATTTTGTATGATATTTTAAATGAATACAGAGTCTTTAATCTTCATTTTCAATTTAATTTATACAATTGCACTCTATTTAAGTTTAAATAAATTTTGATGGTTTTTGCTGATTTCTCTGTTTTTTGCATTTTGTCTATGCAGTTTAATTCCTTATTTTGCATAGTTATTGACATTTAATGCCTGCAACTTTATAATAAATATGGTATAAGATGCGTAATCCGTTTATTCTGAAACCTCTTCTGGTAAAAATGTTGAATCAAGTTCTAGTATAGAAAATAAAAACTAAGAATCTGCTCTAGATAGATAAGTAATAAGTGTATCAGCAGTGAGATTTTTTTTATTTTTAAATTTGAGTTTATTAAAAAGCATTACATTTCTACTTTATAATTTAAATAAAGCGTCTGTTAAACTGGTTTTTAAAGCTTTCCATTCCTCTAGTGCAGAGGTCGCCAAAGTGGTCTATTTGTAAAACTTTACGAAATAGCTCAGCCATTTATGATACCATTTCCAAGTTCCTATATGGTTGAAGCCGGTTTCAGTCAAGTAAATTCAATCTTAACTAAGTCAGAAATAAATTAAATGTGGAATTTCGGGGGGATTTAAGATTAAAATTGGCCAATTTTGAACCCAATATAGCAAACCTTGAAAATAAAACACCAGGCACACCCATCTCATTGAGTAAGAAGCAATAAATCCGTAGTTACTTTACTTATTATTTATACTTATTTATAATTTCTTATTATTTAATAAATATTAAAGTAATTAAATTTCAACATTAATATATTTTTCATGAAACTATTGTTACACAATGTACTATTACTTTAATAAATGTTTAAAATCATAAAAAAAATTACAAACACAGTATCTAATAGAGTTTTATTTTAATTAACAGAGAATTACTTTTATGGGGGTCGATGGAGATTTCTAAAAATTATATAGGGGTCTATGATCAAAGAAGTTTGGCGACTCATTCTCTAGTGGAACTTTGTTAGTCCAAAGATCCAGCCGAAGATAGATTCCCTTAGGGATTTTGCAAAAACACTAATTCTACACTCGGATATGACAGGATGGACAAACTTGTATTTTATAAGAGATCAAAGTAATTGCAGGTCATTACGAGGGGCATTTATGGCAGAATTTCAAATTATCCACCAAGTTCTGTTGAGGAGAGTGACTAAGTTGGTAAAGTCTCACAGTTTTGTAAACTGTTGTTGTGAATTGATTATACCAATTAGTAGTTGCTGTATCTGTTGATCAAAAATACAAAATTCAATCATGTATAACAGTTTGGCACTTTCTAACTTTATTCACTGACTTTAATTCATATGCTTTCAACTTTGATCAACATGATCAAAACTATCATGAATTGTTTATGAAAGATTCAATTATGCTTGTAACTTGGAAGAATCAATCTTTAAGCCATCAAAAATAGGAGACTATATGATTCCTCCTATATGCTGACTAAATAAGTGCCAATCTTAATTTCTTTTGCATGCTGATGCATTTAGCAGAAACCTGGCCAGTATTGGAAGAAATATCAAATGTATCTAGTTTATTTAACATATGCCTGAAATATATAATTAGTAAAATCTAAGTACAGCAAAGTGAGGCCATTTTTAACTGAACCTGTCAATATTTTGCATTGTCAGGTGATTTGGTACTGCTGAGTTTAAATGCGCGAATTTAAACCAAAGCGCAATATGAGAGTGCCCTAAGGACTTACTTATACAAGAAATAAAAAATATTATTCTTGAAAAAAATTTCTGTGAAAGAGTAAAGAAAATTTAAATTTAAAAAAAAAAAGAATTTGAAAACAGTGGGATATTGGTTCTGGAAAAAGGAATATAGAACCTGAAAGCAGCAAAAAGGCACAATTTGTGACACATTTTCTATTACTTATACTCATACAAAGACATTTTACAGGCTTACTTTCCAATGCACTTGGCAAACTGGGCCTTTGTTCTTGTCTCCGCATGAAAATAAATATTGCAAATATGTGATTTTTTTTTTAACATCTATTGTCTAAATGTTTGTTTTATCTTGTTATTAAAAATAAAATTGAAGCTAATGGTGTAAATAAAAATCAGTATTTTCCTTAATTTTTGCAGTTATGGGTAAATTATTTATTTTAAAAGATTAACTGATTTTTTTTTAATTAAAGAAACTTTATCTGTGAACATTGAACAATGAGCATATCACTTTGGCAACTCTTTGAGGATTTTTTTTCTTTTATGGAATTCTTCAAATGAAACCTAGAAGAAAACAAAGGACATTTGAATGTAAGGTAGCTAAATGTGTTTGTATTGAAATTATTGTAAATCTTATAGTTTGTTAAACTATATAAACTGATCGTTTGCCAGACTCTGTTTTCTATACAACTCATTTGCTCTAAAAATTCATTTGTGTAAGAAAAATCAGTTGTGAAGGATGGTATTTACATCTTTATACATCTACTCTTTGATGCAAAAGTAAAAGGTTATTATTAGTAGTAACTTTGGGGAGACTTATTTTCATAAATATATTTTGATCGATCATCATACTAGTTTCTCCTTCTTATTTTTTGACGTTGTCATTTATATAATATTGTTTACATTTTTTTATAAGATTTATTTATGTTTATTATATTGTTTAAATTTATTACTTAATTTATATTCACTACAGTATTTGTATTTATCATAATATTAGTATTTTTAATAAAGTATTGGTTGTTTTGATCAAATGTATTTGTCAATCTGTTGTCGAGGAAATGCACTGATGGCAAATGGGTAAATGGCATCCGAGCATTGGGCAGGCGTACTAGAGCTACTATGCATCTTTATTAAGTGTTTTACTTTTTCTAGGATCCAATGAATGTAGGTGCTATTATCAGATCTGCATATTACTTTGGTGTAAAAAATATTTTTACTGTCAGAGGAAATAGGTATGTTTAAATTATTTTATTAAGCATTATTCTTTTTGTGAAGCTTATGAAAGAGCAACAACTATGTTTTTTCAGTAGACATTACTTTGAATTTCTGCAGGTCTCTAAAATTCTGATATTTTTTATTAACTTTCATTTCCACTATGAGTAACACTGATTTCCACTTTTTGATCTGTTTCATTCTCACAGTTTCTTCATAAATCCATGTTGTTCTATCAGTCACTTTTTTGCCAATTATTTCTATGGATTCCCACATGATTTTTAAAATTCTTATTTTTTTTTAAAAAAGAAAATGGAATTATGTATGACACGTTAAATTGAAGAAAAGGTGAAAACACAAATTTTTAGGTTTTGTCTGTTTGTCATTTTGTTCACAGTTTTTGTAGTATAAAGAGTGCTTTATTCTTAATCTGTCTAATATTCAGTATTCTTAAAATATAATTATCCTAAATATAATTTACTAAATATAATTATCCTAAAGCAGATTGTATATTTTTCATTAGTTTTCAGATCATCATTGAGGATGAATCCAAAATCCTTTTTAGTAGATCATTAGTGTAGCTCTAGTACTATGTTAACAACCATACCAAATATTGTTAATTAAATGTTGTACCTTATTTTGAACTATTATATATTTGTCTTCATTTAACTCATTTTAAACCCTATAAATTTTCCTTAATTGAAGGAAGTATTTAATCTGCATTTATGTTATTAAATACAATATTTAAGTGGTTTTTAACTTCTATGTACATTAAGGTTTTTTTTACTGTATGTTATAATTTATTTTAAAATAAAAATTTTTATATTATGTCTATACTTATATGATAAAAATATTACTCTTTTTCCTCTATGTTTTAATTTTTTCTCTCCAAAAAATCTGTTTTTAAATAAGAAGGCTATTTTTGAAGTCTATGTCTGAAGTCAATGATGCTAACCACATCCCATTACTTTTTCTTTCTTTATCTAATTTAATGCATTCCTGATGATGGGGTTAAAAACGATAAATAGGTGCAAAAAATATCAGACAACTGATCGAGAATTTGAAAACATGTAAACTTTGAAACATATGCAGTTGTAAACCATAAAGCAAATTTACAAACAATAGTAAGCATTGAGAAAGATATTTTTATGATTGTATCTAAAAACAAAAAATATTTAAAGATGACACATTTTTTCTAGTAGTTCATCTCGTAAATGTTAATTTTTGAAAAATAATCTTATATTTTTTTACCTCATTTCTACATTATCCTGCTTCGTGCTTTTTTCTAATGCTATTCCGACAGAAAAAGTAAAACCGGGGCTCTACTGTAATTCTAATTTGACTGATTTAGTTATTTATTATAATTGGCGTTAAATGGGGGACTTGGGTTCAAGATTATCAATATTTAACTCAGTAGTCTTCAAAATTTTGAACCTTATCCAGAAAAGAAGGAAACACTTGGATCAATTCGTGGAATGGACTGATTAGATTCCACTGGAGTCTAATCAGTGGAATGGAAGAACTAGCCTTCATTTGTGTTACATGGAAAACACAAAAAAAATATTTTCAACCTGACGGCAAGGGAATTCTTACCCATGATTCCTTCTACCACTCAGGATATTTTACATCAGCACTGTAGTCGATGCAAGCCAGGAGCACAATTAATGTTGACTGGGAATCGCTGCGTCTGGGTCACCTCATTGGGAGTCGAGCACTGTATCTGAGTCACTGCAGTTCTAAGTTGACTGTGAAATTATTTAGTGCCTAGAATATTGATGCTCATATTAAAAGTACCATAAATGACATCATCTTGTATAGGTCATAAACTTCTAATATAGATTGATGCTGTAATTTGAAATATATGTGGAACAATCTATGTGAATATGTGGGCACCATTGTCTTGTGAAGACATTGATCTCCTTTTTTCCACTGACAGAAAATTTATTTTAAGTTGATAGTTTTTAAGGATGAAGTTTAAATATAAATCTAAAGAGATCATTAAAGATTCATTTTCTAAGGGGCCCCTTAAAAATAATACTTAAATGTTCTCTCGATATATTTTGTCGAGAGAATCGTAAACTTTAGTGACCACCCTGAATGTAGCTTACCTCATTATTGAGCTTAGGATTAATTTTTACATGCATGATGCTTTTTCTCCTGATTCCAGTCTAAGCCAGCTCAGCTTCTTGAAGTTAACCACTCAGCTAAGAAGTGATTAGAAAAAGAAGTGAATACAGTCAAAGACGTGCTTCTCTTTTCAGATACATTAGATCTTAGCCCGATGTTTGGTGGTAGGGATGAAAAAATATTAATTTTACGTTATTAATAATAGAACAAGAATTTCTACAGAATCATACACAAATCAGCTCATTTCATTTGATATTCATTCCAATTTAAACTACTTTTGATTTTATTCTACTTGTAAATATTTTTTTTAATGATACAACTAACTGGTTGTAATTTTCCATGATCTCATTTTAGGTAATGTTAATTCTCTTTGGCCATTTATATTCAAATTAAAGCGTGTGGTATTTGCATCTTTTTTTTTTATTTCGTTTTGAATTAACAATTAAGATGGCTCTTTTAATTCATGAATTATTTTTTTGCTTTTTTTTCCTTCAATATATTGTTTTAAAGTTTAATAATAAGAGAAAACATTGAAGTATTTAATAAAAGTGCAATGTTAAAGTTTGGTAATAAGAGAAAAGCCATTGACAAAAAAAATATTACAGTTGAAAAATATTGCAAATTTTCTTTTAAGTGTAAGTTGGAAAAGGTTTGAAACTGAGTAGTCTTATTTTTTTAATGATAATATTAATGAAATATAATTCTAGGGGGGTAGGATTTTCAATGTTTGAAGTTCTTCTTCGTTATGCTTCACAACTTTAAATATATTAAAAACTAAATTATTTTCTTAACTAAGATCATAATTTATTAATAATAACTATTTTTTGGCAGTTGCAAAATGTCTCCAACAGTCAGTAAAGCTAGCTCTGGAGCTTTGGAAATTATGGATATTTATCAAATTGAAAATCTTGAATATTTTATCAAGGTAATTTAAAGTATTCTTGCTTTTTAGTGTTTTTTATTGTTTTAGTAATAAGACTAAAACACAGACTCAGATATATATTTTAAACTTAGATTTAGATATCACAGAGATATTTTTGAATGTATTGATATTCTGATAAACTGTGAAAGTCTAAGTTAGGAGACTAATTGAAAATTGCAATTGTTAATGTTTTGGTTCTAGTGTTTTTCACTGTGTGTCTAGTATTAAATGGTTGAATTAAAAAAAAATAATAATAATAAAAGGCATGTATGAAATTTGTTTGCAATTTCATTTCCACCAAAACTTATTTTTAAGTATCAAAATTTTCAACTAAAAAAATATCTGTAATTTCCTATGAATTATAGTTTTAATTTGTGTGAAAAGAAGTTAAAACATCAATTTTTAAAATACTTTATTTTTTGAAAACAATTAATTATTAAAAAATAACTCTTTTGGTAAAAACATATCCTTTTGATAGTTCATAGATGAACAAGTTTTCTTTCTTTTTTTAATTTTTTTTTGCAACAAACTTAATACAGTCGATTTTCAAAGTAACTTGAATCTGAAGAAACTATATACAGTGAAACCTCCTGTTATGGACACTCCTGCAAAACGGACGCCTCTCAATACGGACATATTTTTAATTCCCCGGGAATCTTCTATGAATAAACCATTACGTACATTCTCCGCAAAGCGGACACTCCCGTAACCGGACGCGGACAGTCATTTTGGTCCTGAAACGTTGTTTTTTATCTCTACAAACCGGACACTACTTTTTCTAAATAAATTGCAAGCTAAAAAATT